CTTCATAATGAAGATGATCCTGCAGAATCTACAGTTGAACAACCGTCCACTTCTACGCAAACTGCACCAGCTTGTCAAACAGAGGCATCTTCACCTGAAGTGGATACTTCCCCTCCACCTTATTGTAGCATCGCTACAGAAGCAGCTGCACCAACAGGTACTGCCTTTTTCATGATTATATAACCACCCCAGGTATTTTTAGCAAATGCTGAAATAGTGCCACCAGCACTCCTATGCCTGCTTCCGCTGACCTGCTTAAAGATGCTTTGCTCAGTTCTTTCATGCAAAAATCAAATGATTTTGTTTCACCTATTGGTGCAAACAAGTTAAATTGGATTTCATGCAATTAATTTGTCTGATCATGCCTTCCTCTCCATGCATTATGAGATTAAGGGTTTTTATTTAATTATATTACAATAGAATAATCATATGACTTTAAAAAAATCTTTGATTTAATTGATTTAATTTTATATAAGAATAATTGCATAGAAAGCAATGGTGTTTTCTTGGTTTTAGGTGGTGCGTATGTGTACAAGTGTGTACATCCCATTTTGAAAAGACATGGGTTTCTTGCAGGGTAGGAAATAGGAATTGCAACTTGTAGAAAACAGAACAACGCTATCCAGGATTAGTACAATTATTAAACAAATATAATTTGGCAAATAAGAGCAAATAAATCTAGATCCTATAACTCACCAGTGCAAAAGCATGGATATAAATAAATATAAAGCAATAAAGCCAGTCTTATAATAATAAAAATGTAACACATACATTGAAGTAATAAAAAATCTAATGGAATAAATTGAAACATTCCTATGATTTTTCCCATTTGAAGTTAAACTCTTTGAGATCCATTTTGACCTCCATCCAGAAAACCAACCGCATGGGAACAAACTTAGCTGTTCCATAATATTGGGTAGCCTCCTCTCTCTGCCTCCCCCACCCCACCCGTGCAGTTTTATAGTACTGGAGAATTGCACACAGTGTTTCCTAGATAGTCATATTGGATTAGTTGATTCTAGTTGAAAGGGGTAGTTCCACACTCTGCTACATAGGACTTTAAACTGCACGCAGAATTCTACTGTCACCCACTGCAAGGCATACAGCATAGATGTATTGTGTCTACAGCATTTAGTGCTAGGTAATATGTGGGCCACTCTACTTTAAATCAACATTTGTTTCAAACTGGCCTTTAAAGGGAATATGAAGCACCTTACAGTACCATAGCTGGTTATGATAAAAGTGTGAGCTACTGTCACGAAGTCTTCTTTGCCTTCCCACAAAAGACTGTCAAGTATAGCTAGACAAGATTCCTTTAGGCATAGCTTCCAATTGTCCATCGAGGTCATTGTTAATCCAAGACAATCCTAGGTCATAGACTTGCTCGTGACGTCACGTGACATCGCGTGATGTATCAGAGCTTTTCCCCCATTGCTGGCAATGGGGTGGGCATGGTTTCCTTATGACGCGTCCGCCCCCATGGGTTGGCTGTTTGACACCCCTGCTCTAGAGAACTTGAAATTTGAATTTGACATGTATTTATTCGGTCAATGACCAGCAACATCAAACAACAAAACGAGCAATAAAAAACAGGAAACACAACCAGGATCAAGAAAGAGAAGCAGGTGCAGCCACATACCAGCAGCTACAAAACAAATCAAGCATGGTACACTCCAAACACCTCCACCACAATAACACCCTGTCCACCCATCCAAGCTTCCTCTTAGAGACAATGGCTGGCAGAGAACTGTGTTGAACTAACAGCAGCTTTGTCTTATCTGGAGTCAGCCTCGGCTTGTTTATTTCCACCCAGATGAGTCTCTGTTCTTTTACAGAAGTGGAATCACCTAATGAATTTTACCCAGTGCCACCTCCATACAGCGTAGCTACTTCTCTTCCCACTTACGATGAGGCGGAAAAGGCCAAAGCTGCAGCAATGGCAGCTGTTGCAGCAGAAGCATCAGCCCACAGAGTGAGTAAGCAGATCGTGCTACGTAAATGCACCCTTTGGAAACTACACAAGTCTGCCTTTTGTATGTACCGTATTAAGTCAAGTCCCAGTTCTTCTTAATGTTTGCGTAGGTTTTTTTTTTAAAGGATATATATTTCTTATTTAAGTCTGGAGGCTTTTAATTATTTCAACACTTGATTGTCAAAAGGTGGACCTCAGACTTTCCACAACAGTTAACCACCCGAGCAAGTGCAGTATATAGGTAGTCCTTGATTTACGGCCACAATTGAGCCCCAATTCTCTGTTGCAAAGCAAGACAGTTATTAAGTTATATTTGCCCCTTTTTACGACCTTTCTTGCCACAGTTGTTAAGTGAATCACTGCAGTTGTTTAGTTAGCAACATGGTTATTAAGTGAATCTGGCTTCCCCATTGACTTCGATTGTTACAAGGTCACAAAAGGGGATCATGTGACCCCCGGGACACTGCAACCGTCATAAATACGAGCCAGTTGCCAAGCATCTGAATTTTGATCACGTGACCGCGCAGCTGCTGCAATGGCTGTTAAGCGTGAAAAACGTTCCTAAGTGCCATTGTAACTTTGAATGGTCACCAAATGAACTATTGTAAGTTGAGGGCTACCTGTATTTAGAAACTCAGCCAATGTGGTGGCTTTTTCCAGACCTTGACATGCAGCAGTAGCAGCTTTTTTTTCCTGATTCCTGATAGATTTCTGTAGATATTGATGGGTTACGTTTAATCCAGTGGTTCTCAACCTGTGGGTCGGGACCCCATTTGGGGTCGAACAACCATTTCACGGGGGTTGCCGAACAACGCAGTCCGCCATTTTTTTCCCCTTTTCCTTAGCTGTGCTACTCCCTTTTATTCTATTGGCTTTTGAAAGCCAGTAGAATAGACTCTCTTGAATAGAGTCTAATTCTATTGGCTTTCAAAAGCCAATAGGAATTGTCCAGGCTGTCTCTGCCCTGCTGAGCCCGCCAAAAGTCCCATTCTGCAAACGGTGCTGCACCAGTTGAGTAGTCCTTGACTTATGACCGGTTAGGGGTCGCTGCATTAAAAAGGTTGAGAACCACTGGTTTAATCTGATGGTGTCACCAATTAAAGTACCATATAGTTATGCTACCTCTGGTGCTCAGCTTCCTAGGCTGCTAGCAGAAGAATTTATACAGGTTAGCCCCTTTCATTTGAGCTGTGATGACAGTTTCCAGGTTCTAATCTGTAAATACTGTGCACATTGTGTTAACAATAATATTTTTATGATGTATATTGTATACTGTCCAGGCAATCCAAGAAAGCATGTCATAATATAATGTAATCTAGTATGGAGACCAGTAAGCAGGTTTTTTAAAAAAATATTTCATTATTACATTATATTCTGTGTATATTATATGTACATTATTATTACATTATATTCTATTTATGTAACCCTCTTGCACAAAAAAATGCAATGAGTCAGCTACAAAGGCTTGAGCTAAATTCACTGTATGTGTTTATATAGGAAAAATTTACTGTTCTTTTTTTTTCTTCAAAATGTGAATTACTGGATTTCTATGTCCTTGATTTAACTTCATTGTTAAATTTTATTTAAAAATTAATTTACAGAGATAGAATGACTTGTTCAGAATGATTTAACACACGTTTAGCTCTTCTGTCTTATTTTCTTTACATGCTTAGCACGGCCAATTTAGGGAGTCTAGGAGTCTGTTTGATGAAATATTCCTGAGTCCACCAGAGGTATGATTCCATTCTGTGAAGTTTAGATTTTGCAATGAAGTTCATTTATGGCAGACATTTAAAAAAAAAATCTTTTTCTTTTCTAAATAAACTTACCCTCTCAAATGAATTATAATACTTTCATAAAAGAAAGTGACCTACATTGCAAATCTGTTCATTTCTGTTTGGAAGTATCCTATTGCAGGGGCCCCCAACCTTGGCAACTTTAAGATTTGTGGACTTCAACTCCCAGAATCCCTCACCCAGCTTCTGGGAGTTGAAGTCCAGAAGTCTTAAAGTTGCCAAGATTGGAGACCCCTGTCCTATTGCATGCAGTAAGATTATAGTCCTAATAAAACGGAACACAGACACTGATGGATTATAATATCTCTTGGCTGCTATTTGCCTTTAAGGTTTTTTTGTATTGTGTTTTTGACTGTTTTAATGGTTTTTATGATGGCTCACCACCCAGACTCACTGATTTCAGATGGGCAGTTGTAGAAATTGAATAAATCAATGAAATTGAAAATAAATAACAAATGGCAGTCTCACACAGATTTATTTAGAAGTGAGCTGCACAGAGCAAGGTAGGGCATATTTCAACAGGTTATGCATGTGTTAAATTTTTGTTTATAAGGATATTTAGTTCTTTTAATTATGGAGAATAATTATAGAGGCATTTTGCTTAAAAGGCCAGACACCCTGAATGAGGTAGTGCAGGTCATCCACACTCTAGAGCAGGGGTGTCAAACTGCCGGCCCGTGGGCTGGACGTGTCAACACAGAAGCCGCACCCACCCCACTGCTGGCAATGGCAAAACTGTCCCGATACGTTGCACGATGTCACGTGACGTCGCGAGTTTGACATGTCTTCTCTAGCGTGCTCCAAGGCAATCACGTATTTATCATATATGCTTTGCTTTGAATTTGATCTCCCAGAAATCCTTTGGGGCACTCATGCACCAACAACTTAAAGCAGCCATACCTTCTTTCAGAATGACAGGGTTGCCTTCAGCAACTACAAATTGTCCTTGACTTAATGACCACAGTTGAGGCTAAAATTTCCGTTGCTAAGTGAGAAAGTTAAGTGAGCTTTGCCTCATTTTACATTTTTTTTCTTGCCACACTTGTTAAGTCAGGGCTCTTCAAACTTGGCCTTTTTATGACTTGTGGACTTCAACTCCCAGAATTCCTCAGCTAGCGTGCCTGGCTGAGGAATTCTGGGAGTTGAAGTCCACAAGTCATAAAAGGGCCAAATTTGAAGACCCCTGTGTTAAGTGAATCACTGCAGTTGTTAAGTTGGTTACACAGTTCTTAAGTGACTCTGGCTTCCCCTTGACTTGGCTTGTTAGAGGGTCATGCAAGATGATTACATGACCTGGGGACACTGTAACCCTCAGCACCTGAAGTTTGAGCAGGTGGACCAGGGGAATGCTGCAACGATTGTCAGTGAAAAAAACAAATCATGTCACTTTTTTCAATGCTGTTGTAACTTTGAACAGTCACTGAACAAACTGTTGTTAAGTCAATTACCTGTACTCTGTGACTCTTGGGAAGGACACAGGTGCTTTAAGAAGTTTCACACAGATGTTACATGATGCTTGAGCTATCTTTTGGCGATCTAATTGAAAGTACTAAATAGTCCTAGTATTCATTTGTGTAGCATCTAATACCGATTAGAGAGCTTTAAGTTTTAAGAGTTTAGATGCTGTTTCCAGTACAATGAGCAACTGAGCCCTGGATGAAATTGTGGGGGGGGAAACCTATTTGTAAAAGCAAATAAGGTTTCCAATACATTAATTTTCTTCTGGGAGGTAATTTGAAGTATGAACTATACTTTATTTTGTTTTATAATAAACCTTTTTTGTTGTGTTTGTGTGAATAAGCTGTTAGTTGTTTATCAGAATAACAGGTCAGATTCTACCATTCTGAAATACATTAGCTTATTATGTCCCATATTTGTTGGTCTTGGACTCTGCTGACTGGAATATTCAAGGAAAAATAGTGTAATGAAATTAAATTGCATATAAAAATAGTTTAACTGTTGATGGCTTTCCTGATGATGACTCATTACTTAATCTCAGTCATAAATGAATGTGTCCTAGATATCTGAATGTAAAGTTCAGGTGTGTGTTTCTCATTCTTCTCATGTGCTTGTAATATCTGTGCATTATTCATACATTTCTCATGTAATTAGGATCAGCAGATTTAAAGAGTCATCATATATCAGGATGGGACTTTCAGTGATTGGAAATTCAGTGCTTTAACTCATTCTGTGACTACTGTTAAAATAATTTAAAAATACACCCTCGCGAAATCATTATATTTCTTTCTATAGAAGAATTAACATTTGTTGGCATACAATTTTGACTACCTCAGCTTAGAGTAGTCTAACCCAGATTTTGTGAAATCCTGTACATTTATCCCCTTCAAATGTACATAACTTCAGGATTCTAGGGTTATAATTATTTAACAGGGAAATAGCCTGTTTAATTGCCTATATTGGTAATAAACTTTTAATGATGAGGTAGCAAGTTTTAAGCTTTAAATAAGTTTTAGGCTCTAAAGATTTTGTTTGTTTCAATATTTTGGGAGTGTAGAAAGTGACACATGAATTTAATATACCTTAAAGTATACTACTTCAGCTTCTTGAAAGTCTTTTTTTAAAGAAATAAACCTACTGTTTAAAAATAATTCCCACTTAAAAAGAGACATACACTGAGTGGATTTTTTTAAAAAATAGCATAACAACTTACCTTGTTTCAAAGGATAAGTGCATGCTTTGTAAATTAGTTTGCATAATTCTGCTGAGTATTCATCTGCATATTTGTATTTCAAATTTAAAAACAAGCCTCATAGAGATTATTTGGGAACAGGGACAGCTTCCGTGTTGTGCTATAAATTTTAGTTCTTTGAAATTGTATGCAGATAAACTGCTTTACAAACTTTATAATGGTGTAGGCAAAAAAATATATGAGAGTCTGCCTAGACAACTTCATGTAACAATTTTTAGGATGTTAGCTCCCTCTGGCGTTTGAATATCAGCAAAGCATTAATTTTAGAATGCTTTTAGTACTTTGTGGATTGAATATTGTGATAGTTTACTATTTGTTGCATGTTTGGATGGCCATATGCTGCATGTCTCAATAGTTTCAAAATTGGGGGCTATAAAGTGCTAGTGAAATGTCAGTTGTATACGTACTTTATTTTGTAATTTATCAATGTCATGAAATTCTGAAGTATCACATCCTTCCCACATGGATCATTTGCACAGCCCCACTATGGCCAATATATATAAAACATTTGGGTTTCATGGTTAGTTCATTATTGGTTTGCATTATAAATATATTTTCATTAATCAATAATCCTTTGTATCTTTAAGAATAATCTTAGCCTCTCTTTGGATATATTGTTTGAACAATATATACACATCTAGTAATGAATTGAGTATTAAGAATAGAAAGCGTAGATATTCTTATATTCTTACTTGCTTTCCATTAAATATTATAGAAAAATGTTAATTGAATGTATCTGGTGAAATACTCTGCCAGTGGACATAACATTAGGGCAAAATAAAATAAAATAAAAAATAAATAATATATGTGCTGTAAATGGTAGCCAGTCATTGCACCTTATAAATTTACATGCCTTTTTTGAATGGAGTAAATGAAACTCATGATTATACTATGGATTAGTCATTCCTTCCTGCTTTCACATATAAAAAAGATTTCAAGTCACAAAATGACAACAGTTAAAGTGTGTTGTTTTTAAAAGTCTAGTGACTGGTGTACCATTGGATGAGAAAATCAAGAGAATCTTTTATTCCCTATCCCATAATGTTCCTGAAGGGAATGTCCCAAGAAAAGAAACATTATACATAATGAAAGATATTTACCTGCAGAGAATCACACAATATTCTGGAAATAGAATGACTTTCTTAGCTACCAAGAGACACTATCAAATACATAGTCCCAAAGGTGCTTTTTTTCAAAAGGCAACTGGTCTTTGTTTTTCCCTGAAGACATTTCGCTTCTCATCCAAGAAGCTTCTTCAGTTCTGACTGAATGGTGGAGAATGGAATGATTTATATTCCTTGCAGTCATCTGGTCATTAGCACTCTTTCTGAGAGTCGTTGAGGCCATTTGGAGGTTTCTCTGTGTCCTCAGTGTCAAAGCTGGGATTAAATCGAATAACAAAATAACATGCAATTTACCCTCCATGTTTCTCATTTTGCAGTGCCTCAAGGGCTGCTGTCTATTATAACTGTGGCTAGCACAATAACTGGTAATAAGTGATGTGCTCGATAGAAATGATCTTTAGATAAGGACTGATTAAGGAAACTCCTAAACCTTCTATTTTCTTTTTTTTAAAGATAAAATCTCCTTTGAGTTCCACTCCTAGGGACTTCGGGTCGTGGCAACAATACAAAAATAGTTTGTAATTGCCTTTTTCCAAAGTTTTTAAAACCTGGAAAACTGGTATTTTTACCAGTCTCCAATTCAATGACTACTCAGGCCTGATCCTGTATATTATTACATCCAGATTCTGCCAAAGTAAAGTAAAATGTTCTAACAGGCAAGCGTGGGATTTCCACATGCTAGGTAATTTTAGATTAGTCAAGGAGAGGGAAAGGCCACCTAAAGACAGTTTCATTAAAAAAAAATGAATACAAATAAATAAAAATAAATAATTAAAAAAGACATAAATTAGAAAGAAAAAAAACCTCAAAAGGCAAACTCAGTGGGCTGCTAAGTCTCTTTCTGCCTTCAAGTTTTCTGTGTTTTCATCTACGATTTTTACTCACTATAACTTGAAAACTGGGGCATATGGCTGCTGATAAATACAACATAAGATACATTTTGAAGATGTATTGTTGATTTGATTTTAATGAAGGGTTATGACAATTTATATCTTAGCTGGATAGCCGAAATGCATCCCTTTAATAATGCATCCTTGATTTCATACATAGATTCCTACTCTTGCAAAAAGTTGTGGTTTACAAAGTCTTACTCGTTATCGTTCTGCTAAAATGTATTTCTTGTCCTCTGTTAAAATGTGTTTCTTGTCCTCTTAAAGGAAGAAGAATATCCCCCAAGAGATGACTTCAGCGATGCAGACCAACTCCGTGTGGGAAATGATGGCATTTTTATGTTGGCTTTTTTCAGTCAGTAATTTTTCTGTTATTGCTTTTAAGTTATTTTTATTTAAAGCAGAATATTTCTCTGTCGGGGGATACATGTACATGCCTACTGATAGAAAGCAGAAGTGCTGGTTGGATACGGCAGAGGGTTTGAGAAAATGTGATTGTCTTTGCTGTAAATGCTAAAAATGTATATTTTCAGTTGATAATTCCAGTTAAGTTTTTTTTTCCTATTGCAGAATAATTGAATACAATGTACTTAATAACTGTAAATATTTGTCACTTAAGTTCCTGACATTATCTCTGGCTGATGGAGAGAAAACTTTTATTTCTATATGTATGTCTTTGAAATATAATGTCAAAGCAATAATATCCAATATTTGTAATGAAACCGGTTGCAATCCACTTGTGGTATGTGACTGCCACCTTGTGACAAATGTGTTCATTACAACTTTAAAGTTCTAAGACTTGTAGCATTTTATCATAGGTAAGATAAACTAATATGGGAAGAAAATTATATTCTTGCTGATTAATATTTCTATAAATGGCAGTTAACTGGGTACATATCCTGGAGAAAGTGTAAATAGTGTATCAAGATAAAATGGATTCTTAAAAGAAGACCTGGTATATATATTTGCACAATGCAATGCATAAAATATGCTCTTTGAAATATTTAAGATAACTTTTTGAATCTTCTTTTAAATACCTTTTTTGAGCAATGTTCTACTGGGACTGAAGATACAGCAGTTGCCCTGTTTCCCATAACTTATGCATACAAAAACCATGAAGGACATGTTTTTTTTTAAAAAAAAACAGATGCTCTTATTTTAATGCAAATTCCTATATGACATGCTAAAAGCATATTTTAAAAAATAACACCAATTATAAACCATGGCAGCTACAAAGTCATCTAGAGACAGGCCTAAAATTACAGATTGAAATCCTGATGTTAAGGCAATAAACTCAGCAGTATAAAGTTCTCTGCCTACATTATAGAGTTGTACAGTCACTACCTGCCTAACAATATCAAACATTGTTCTTAACACAAAGGTAAACAAATGTAGTATAGACAATCCTTGAGATCCTGTTTCCTACATTTTGCAATGCTGCAGATCTTGGTAAATACTAACATGTTAGAAGAGAATGTGACTGTTAAGTCACAGTAGCAGATGTTCCAATCTTGATGTAAGCAATATAGATTTGATTTTATTCAGCAGTGATACCGGTAGTCCTCCACTTACGACCACGAGCCCAAAATTTATGCTGCTAAGTGAAAAATTTCTTAAGTGAATTTTGCCCCATTTTACGACCTTTCTTGCCACATTTGTTGAGTGAATCACTGCAGTTGTTAAGTTAGTAACACAGTTGTTAAGTGAATCTGGCTCTTACCCCATTGACTTTGCTTGTCACAAGGCCGCAAAAGGGGATCACATGACCCCAGGATGCTGCAATTGTCATAAATATGAGTCAGTTGTCAAGCCTCTGAATGTAAATCACGTGCCCATGGGGATGCTGCAACGGTTGCTAAGTGTGAAAAACGATCATAAGTACCTTTATTCAGTGCTGTTGTAACTTTGAACAGTCACTAAGTGAATTGTTGTATCTCGAGGACTACTTGCATTCAGAAACTCAGAAAAGATGAACAGTCCTTTGCAGATTTGGCATTCACCTCAGAAAGGGGAAAAAGCATATCTTTTAACCTCTCCTCTTTCATATGGGAGAAGGTTGATAAACACCAATATTTTCCAACTATTTCCTCAGTATATTTTGTGGCATCAGGCATCATTCACATATAACTCATCCTCTAATGATATTTTACTGGATATTGAAACCACAAGTCCTATTGCCATCAAGACAATGGCTTCTTGGATAGGTTTCCATGTCCTAATGCAGTGATGCCACTCTCACCAAGATACATCTCAATATGATGCTTCAGTATTGCAGTTCTCATTTAAATCTTTGTTATGATTTCTTATCTGAAATACAGTGTTTCCCCTAAAGTAAGGCCTACACCGAAACTAAGCCCTAGTTTGATTTTTTGGGGGTGGGCCTAATTTAAGCCCTACCCCCAAAATAAGTCCTAGTTTGGGGGTGAGGCACACACCTAAAAATCAAACTAGGGTGGGGGTGGGGGTTGGGGCTGCCTCACCCACCCCGTACCCACTTATCTTGCAGCCAGGCCTCTCCTTGCTGGCCCACTTCTTCTGAGGCCTCTTCTGCAGCCAGGCCTGCATTTCTCAGTCACAGGTCTTTCTGGAAGGTCTGTGCAGCCAAGAACCAAACTATGGATTCAATCCATAGCTCATTACTTGGCTGCTTAGGCCTTCTGGAAAGGCCTGACTGCAAAATGCAGGCCGGAAAGCAGCTGCAGAACTTCGGCCCAGAAGAAGTGGACCAGCTGGGTGGGGCTGTCGGTGCCAGAGGTGAGGTAAGGCCTACCCTGAAAATAAGACCTGATGCCTCTTTTGGAGACAAAAAAAAGACCCATCTTATTTTCAGGGAAACATGGTATCTCATGCAAGAAGACCAAAGGACCCTTTTTTAAAATTATTTCTTTGATTTCACTTTGGGTTTCCATTGGCAAGATCTAGAGGTGTTAAGAGTCTGCCTTTCCATCACTTGATATCAATTCTGTATCCCAAGTCACTGTTAACAATTGCCTTCACTTTGAAAAATATTTAAATTCTGATAAATGCCTTTCTGCGGTTAATTCAAATTTTAACAAAAAGCTGTGTGTGTGTTTTTTTAGTGGCATTCATTTTCAATTGGATTGGATTTTGCTTATCATTCTGTATAACTAACACCATAGCAGGAAGGTATGGTGCAATCTGTGGATTTGGATTGTCTTTGATCAAATGGATTCTTATTGTCCGGGTGAGTTTTTTTTATTTGGGGATTTTGCTTTTGGGTTTCAGTATGGAAGCATATTAAATTAAATACAATAAAAGTCTCTAATTGTACATTCCTTGGTCTGTTATAAAGTTGGTTTTCTATGCTAGTAAAACGTCAACATATGGAAACTAAATTCGATTGTATATTGCAACCAAAATTAAATGGCTGTTTTGTGTGGTGTTATCAGGACTTTTGCATTTAGACATCCTGCTTTTACCATTAGGTAGCAATGAAAGCCTTTTTTTTTTACTGAAATATGAATATTATTTGGCTTGTTATGAATTACTTAGTTTGAGTTCTATGTAAATGAGAGCCAGTTTGGTGTAGTGCAGGGGTAGCCAACCTTGGCTCTTTTATGACTCGTGGACTTCAACTCCCAGAATTCCTGAGCCAGCATGGCTCAGCTTGGAAACCTCTCCCTTTCCCCTCAGCATGGCTGGCTCAGGAATTCTGGGAGTTGAAGTCCACGAGTCATAAAAGAGCCAAAGTTGCCTACCCCTGGTGTAGTGGTTTAGGCACCATGCTAGAAATCTGGGAGACCATCAGTTCTAGTCCTGCCTTGGCCGTGAATGCCAGTTGGGCAAGTCACTCACTCTTTAGCCCAACTTTCCTTACAGGGTTATTGTTGTGGGGAAAAAATAGGAAGAGGAAGATACGTTTGCTACCTTGAGCAAGTTGTAAAAATAATAAAGATGGGATACAAATAAATAAATGTTGTAACTTTATTTCCATAAATCAAAGAAATACATTGATTTTCTGTGCTCAGTGTCCCAGAGTTTAGAGAAGAGCAACAAAGATGATTAAGGGTCTGGAAGCTAAAACACATGAAAAATAATTGCAGGAATTGGTTATGGCTAATCTAGTGACAAGAAGGACTAGGGGTGACACAATAATGGTGTTTCAATATTTGAGCGGCTGCCACAAAGAAGGGGGGGGGGTCAACCTATTTTCCAAAGCACTAGAAAACAAGACAAGAAACAATGGATGGAAATTACTTTAGGAGAGAAGCAACCTGGAACTAAGGAGAAATTTCCTAACAGTGAGAATCAATTAACCCGTGGAACGACTTGCCTTCATAGTTGTGGGTGCTCCCTCAGACCAGTTAAAATTTTTTACAGGGTTTTCAACATTTGTGTACACGTGCCTTGTACTCAGATTAGCATCTTGGGGACTTCTGGTTTGATATAAACAAAATTATTATATTATTTTGGCTGGAAGGTACTGGGAAGGATTTTATGTACCAATGGAACTATTACAGTGGTGAACTAACACTAAAGAGACTCATGTTTAATATTTTCTCCACAAATGGCTTACGTTTCTTTGTTTGCAACTACACATAGCAAAATGCATAAGTTTTCTCTTCTGTTCTAATAACAGTATTAGAACATTTTTTTCTTCCTTAAAATTTATTAACTGTACATCCTTTTAGCATTACTGTATATCCAAGCTACATCTTTGTTGCATCAGTAATCTTTCATATATCACAGTGATAACTTTAACTTATATCTTGGCTTTTTTTTCTTATCAGTTCTCAGATTACTTTACCGGCTATTTCAATGGACAGTACTGGCTTTGGTGGATATTTCTTGTACTTGGTAAGTGCTGATCAAAAGGTTTAATTTTTCTGATTTTAACTCCATATAAAATCTAAATTTAAGAAAGAACATATATATTATGAATGGGCGCAGGTGTCCCTGGGAGTGTATTTATCTGTATCAAGAATAGATCTGACTGGTCAATCACAAACCAATGCTATAAGCAGAATTTTCATAGGGTAATTAGATGCTTGAGGATAGTAAAGTTATGACTTTTGGTGACTTGATTGCAATAAAACGGATGACTCAAGATTTTTTTAGTCTCTATGGTAGTTACAGAATGATCTGAAGTTGTCTTTACCTAGGGTACAACACATTTTTTACTTCATTTTTGTTTACTTTGTCAGTGCACTGCAGCTCTTCTTAGAAGAAACATTATTTTGAACTGCTCTAATTCAAATTCAAGCTTGGAAGATCTTATTTCTCTGCTTGTTGTCACAGCATTCTTCTGAATATCTCCATGAGATGTTGATCGGAAGCACTATTTTATAATGGTTCTATTCCTACTTAAAAGTATAATTTCAGAATGTAGCACTGGGTAAACTACCTTAGCATCCCATACTGTAGGTATATACCGGGGATGCTGTGTATTAATGTCTTATAGCAGATACTTTTTAGCATTTATATGAAGAAAGTGTGAGCTGTCATTAGGAGTTGAGATTAGCTGTCATCAATATGCTGTCATCAATAAAGCTGGAATCTGGAAAAAGGCTTTGCATGTCTAGGGTGAGTGCCTATAGATGCGATAATGGATTGAGGACCAATATAGATTGATGCTGAATCCCCCAAAGATGGAGATCTTACGAGTGCATGCTCCTCACATATAGAACTTGGGAAATTTGACTGTTTTGAATAGGATTACAATTCCTCAGAAGAAACATTAAGTAGTTTGGGGGTATTCCTAAAGTTATCTCTGGCTAGAAAAGGCTGTTAGTAGTTTAGTTAGGTTTACTAGCTACATTCTTTCCTAGAGAAGGATACTGTAGCCACCATTGTCCATATACTAGTAGCTTCATATTTGGATTACTGCAATGTACAATATGCAGGGCTATCCTTATTATTTGATTTGGGAGCTGCAGCTGGCAGAAAACACAATGTTGACATTCCTTAGAAGGTCATTGGCCCTGTTAATATACATGTGTTGAAGGAACTACACTTGTTGCTAATAAGTTACTGGCCCAGCTCAAGGTTTTATAACTGGGGTGGAAGGTCATAAACACTTTGGAATCAGTTTGTTTGGCTTCTCATGGCCAGTCATCTCCCTGATGGTCTAGCTCAGGGGTAGGCAACCTTGGCTTTTTTATGACTTGTGGACTTCAACTCCCAGAATTCCTGAGCCAGCATGGCTCAGCATGGAAACCTCTCCCTTTCCTCTCAGCATGGCTGGCTCAGGAATTCTGGGAGTTGAAATCCAAAAGTCATAAAAGAGCCAAGGTTGCCTACCCCTGGTCTAGCTGATTTCAAGCAGTGGACATTAATTTAGAGCTGCAGTTTTACCTAGAAACATCTTATTAAGCTACTTTTCACATATCTTATTAAGGTACTTCTTCAACTAACTTAGGTACTTTACTTACATAATGATTCCAAAATTCAGAGGGGCTTTATCCTGGTAAAGGATATAGATGTTAAAGTGAGGCAAAACTTACTTAACATATGTCTTGCTTAACAACAGAAATTTGAGGCCCAATTGTAGTCACAAGCCGAGGACTACCTATATTGATTCCAATTTTGCAATAGAAGTTAGGTTTTTGTCCTGTCATTTGTTTTCTAAGAGGGCCATGGTTGGGATGAAAAATTCTTGTTCCTGAAATTAAATCTTTAATTGTAAAGTAAAATACAGTGAAGAAATATTCTACACATAGGCAAGAACAAACAAAGGCTAAAAGACACAAGGAACGGTTGCTGGAATTGGGTATGTCTAGTTTAATGAAGAGAAGGGCAAGGGGGGACATGATAGCAGTGTTCCAATATCCCACAAAGAAGAGGGAGTCAAGCTATTCTCCAAAGCACCTGAAAGCAAGACAAGAAGCAATAGATGGAAACTAACCAAAGAGAGAAGCAATCTAGAACTAAGGAGAAACTTCCTGATAGTTAGAACAATTAACCAGTGGAACAACCTGCCTACAGAAGCGGTGAATGCTCCAAAACTGGAAGTTTTTAAGAAGAGACTGGACAGCCATTTGTCTGAAATGGTATAGGGCCATGGTGGCGAACCTATGGCACGCAGAACCTTCTCTGTGGGCACGCGCACCGTCACCACAGTCCTAGGCCTTCAGCTGGGTTTTATAAAACCTTTTCGCTTTAGGCCTCAGCCGCCATGTGCAAAAAAAAAAAAAAAAGGTTCAGTCAATTTCAACTTCTCGTGGGAAAAAAAAAGATCTCGTAAAGTTGGAATTGATTGATTGAAATTTTTTATCCCACCCAGTCTGCTGTTACCACAGAAACTACGCCCACCCAATGGGCCATGTCCACCCAATGGACCACATCCACCCAGCACCCGATGATACATAAGTGGTCTTTGGCTTGCAGTTTGGGCACTCGGTCTCTAAAAGGTTCGCCATCACTTGTATAGGGTTTCCTGCCTGAGCAGGTGGTTGGACTAGATGACCTCCAAGGTCCCTTCCAACATTATTATTATTATTAAACAAACAAATGCACAGATGATGGTACCTGGCTCAATATTAGAAGAGGGATCTAGAGATTCTAGTAGATCACCACTTAAATATGAGCCTGCAGTGTGCTGCAGCTGCCAGAATATTTAATGTGTTTAAATATTTCATACTCTGTTTCTGGTTTTAGGCCTCCTCCTATTTTTCCGAGGTTTTGTTAATTATCTGAAAGTTAGAAATATGTCTGAAAGTATGGCGGCAGCTCATAGAACAAGATTTTTCTTCTTGTATTAGAGGTAAGCCATGTCTCTCCCTTTATAAGTAAATACTTAAATTGCATCTGAAGGAAAACATCAGCTAACAATGAATGGAAAGAAATGTTTTCATGCTGAATACCAGAAAACATGCTATTGATATATGATACATAGATTGGATATCCTTAAACTTAAAAAATTCTTATCCTTGATTTTTCAAGCTTATTTTGTCAAAAAAAATTCCTCTACAAATGTTCATCACAAGTAGTACTAAACTTGGGTTTATGTAAAATTAATTTATTTTCCTATCAGTTATTAGCTAAGACGACTTTGGTGATAAAAGTTGTAGCCCACCAATTTATTATGGCTCCACATTAATTAACTCTAGTGAACTTTTTAGAAATTATTGCCATAGCCAGCCCTGTGACAACAGCCTTCAAAATACTTCATGGTCTAAATCAAAATGAAAATTGCAATACAAATGTATTACAAACAATTTAAAAGCATGCATATAATTCTAGATGTCTAAAGAGAGAGCTCTTAGCATTTTAATAGTAGATACTGGTTTAAGCAGAGGGATTTATAGTACTCTGGAAAAGTCTGCAAAATTCAGCATGCCTGATAGATGGATATTCCAGCTGAATGGCTGCTGAAAACTCTAATGCAGTGGTACTAACCGATCAAGCATTTGATGGCGTTGATGCTTCCAAAAGAGATTTAAAAGAAAAATAAAACCATTTTGACACTCACCCAAGTAGAGGATGAAAAACACATCGCTGGTAGACTTAGTGAAGTAGTCTTGATTTCCCGAAGCTTCTTTGTATGTACTTGGCCATTTTTGAGTAATCAAGTAGCATCTTCAATTGCAATATATGACAAGATGAATGGATTAAGAGCTTCTTGTTCGTCCACTCAATCCAGTGCACGTATATTGAAATATAACTCTTGCTTTTTTTCATTCACAGACTGCAGCAACCAGGCATTCCTTTCTCTTATCAATGTGAACTTCCAACCAACCAGTTACCTTCCGATGAATAGGGAAAGATGACTACTGTTATTGCCGCTTAGTGAATGACAGAATGGTTCAGGCTTAAGTGCCAGTTCTGTTCATTCTAGTAAATATTTATATTAAGCATTGCCTTTTGTCTTGCACATATATACATATACAATATATATATGTGCTAATCATCAAGAACTTTAAAAAAAAATAAAATCCATGCATATAGTCTGCTAAGCAGCTGAATACAGTAAGACTTAACTAAATCATGTTTGAATCTGGAATATTTTTTTAAGAGGTAACAGTTCTTCACAGTATTATGTACTATCCATTTGTTGGTCTAATGATTTTTTGGGGGGTGCAGACAACTTGTACCAATTCTTTGGGACTCTGCTGGGATGTATATTACATTATCCAATTATGCACATAGAACATTTTTAATCGTACAATTTGTAGCTCTATAAATATGTGTTGAAAAGCTTTCTATTGAGGGCTGGACAAGGTTGTCCCAGTGTACTTTTTTTTTTTTTTTTTGGTCGTGGTTTAATTGTGTAAAATTAGCCTCTTCATAGATGTTGGCAATATAATGCCGTAAAGTTTAATGGAGTTTTTAATCACTGCCATTTTGAAATCTGGTAGGAGCTGATTTCATGAAGAAAGTATTAAGCTGCGGATATTGTACAGCTTAATATGTTCAGTTTGATTTTTAGGTTAAGAGAATAACAGTGATTGCTGCTGTCCTGCTACCATCTTACATAATTGCAGGAAAGCAGAGAAGAAATTCAAATAAAATCACAAGAGGAGATTGCATCTGATTAGTTGTCAAAATCTGAGAAGGAGTTCTGTTCTTTCAGTTCTTCCCACATTATTTATGCAATTTTGCTTTTACAGAGAAACATTGGGCTGTTTCAGGTTATTCAGATATTTGGGGGGAAAGAAGTATGCAAATTAAAAGCTCTCCTCATCAGTTGAACTGCACATGGCTAATTCAGCTGGACAATTTGATTAACATAAGCCCCCACAAGAAAGCTTTAAGCATACATCTATAATGCCAAAAGAATTAATATGTGGAACTGAACAAGTGCATATTCCAGCGCATAACTGAAGGATGAATTTGGATCCCATTTCTGTGGGGAAAGAAAATCTAAATTCATTCTTGCGTTTATCATCTCATTAAGGTTTAGCAAAAGGAGTTGCTAACCTGATACTGCCTTTTTCTTGTTAAGCATATCCCTGCCTCACTGTTCCCCTATCTGCCTGCAGTCATAATGTGCAATTGAAGACTCGGAATTTATGTTCTCTGTGCATTCCAGCCAGTCTTCTTTTGATGAAGGGAAGATTCATAGTAAGGGAGATGTGCAGTACTACCCAGTTGAAAGGAGTTTTTCAATGTGGGATATCACTTTACATTGTTGTTAGGCTAGGGGAAGACCTTTACACAAGGATTTAAATAATAACCCAGCTTTTTAAAAAAAGGTTGTTCTGTTTTTCATGACAATGAAGCCCAGTTTAGATTAATTCTCAATAGGTGCTTTTTTCTTTTTTTTTTCTGATTGCAAAAATGTAAGCAATGTAGTGCTTATGATATTCATATACAGTGATTATGTTTATTTTGAGTTAACAGATATATCTAGGGCTTCATGGGAAGGCAGCAGGAGTAAATGTATTTATACCTTCCTTAAGCATCTCTGGCGCTAAGCACCCTAGGTAGGGAGAGAGAGGTGGACTCTCATATGGTTGCTAACAAGCCTCATCTCTCTTTCCTGCCAATCACCAGCTGCTCTGTATTTTTGGAGAGGAAAAATGCACCTTTATTTCTTAATTTGCATTCTTGCACTCTTACATTTTCATATAACATTTAGGGGAAATGCGTGTTTTCTCCTTGAGTTCTGTATCAACTTGTATCCATTGTATGCATAAGGTTGGTGATTTATAGTCTTGAATATTTAAGAATTATTTTATGCTAAAACTTAGAGAACAAATGCCCATTCCTGGTTTGAATGAAAACAAAATTATTTTTCCCCTCACCCCCAAAGTTTCTATGTATTTTGTCCTTGAATTCGTCAGTATCTGTTCTCCCTTTCTTCCCACGCCCTCCTCTACATAATTTTGTTTTCTGATTTTTATTTTATTTTATTTAGGCTTTGAAATAAAGGCTTCCGGTTTTTACATTAAAAAAAAAACAACCTTTCAACACCTCTTTTGTAAACAAAATGATGAATTAGCTGAACATGCTATCTTTGGACTTTTTTTTGCAGTTTCATGTTTAATGTTACTTCAGTTTGAAGCAGTTACTGCAGCAATGCATTGGCGAAGAATAATTAACGTTCTCTTCTATGCCATGTTTTCATACTAAATGATGCATGCACCCTAGTTAGCAAAAGATGCAGGTAGTAGATGAAAGAAGGCTACAGTCATTGCCTGTATGCAGAGAAAAATACATCATTTTGTTTTAAACCTTTAGGTTATATGTACAGCAGGAGAAAAAAACAACAACACAAACCCCAGTAGGAATATGAACAGTGACAAGAGGCTATTTTCTGTCACTGCAGTCATGTCTTCCTCTAGGCAACTATAATGCAAATTTACGTTCATATCAACTTTCAATCCCTGAAATTGAAATCATTTTTTTTATTGGTAAAATATCTTTAGCTACTTTTTTAAAGCCTATGAATCATGCTTTAATCATTACAGGACTCTGTAATATAGCTGGAGTTCTGAATCTTCAGTCTGGGAATGAATTTATTTTAAGGCAAATTATATTCAATTTCTCAGAAAGCAAAGCAAACTAATAAGAAAATACGAACTGCTAAGGCTAAGGCAGTATGGTTTCTTTGCAAGAAACAACATATAAATAATAATTTGCCACAAGAATGCATGATATATGTCAAATTTATAATGACTGGATATTATTTCCAAACATTATGTGTCTTATGACCGGGGTCCCCAACTCCCGGGCCGTGGACCTGTACCAGGCCGCGGCATGCCAGCAACTGGTCTTCACAAACAAGGAAAGCCCCATCCACAGGATGCAGGCAACACACAAAACCACACCCCCTCTGGTCCGTGGTCCCTGGTGCCCAAAAGATTGGGGACCTATCTTATGAAGGCAATGGACTTGGTTTTAGGATATTTTAAGTGTAGATTTTAACATGTTTATTTAAATCAGTGGTTCTCAACCTGTGGGTCGGGACCCCATTTGGGGTCGAACGACCATTTCACAGGGGTCGCCAAACAACGCAGTCCGCCATTTCCCCCCCCCCCCCCTTTCCTTAGCTGTGCTACTCCTTTTATTCTATTGGCTTTTGAAAGCCAATAGAATAGACTCTCTTGAATAGAGTCTAATTCTATTGGCTTTCAAAAGCCAATAGGAATTGTCCAGGCTGTCTCTGCCCTGCTGAGCCCGCCAAAAGTCCCATTCTGCAAACGGTGCTGCACCAGTTGAGTAGTCCTCGACTTACAACCGGTTGAGTAGTCCTCGACTTACCACTGGTTGGGGGTCGCAGCATTAAAAAGGTTGAGAACCACTGATTTAAATTAAATTGGATTAAATTTAAAATGCATTTAATAGGATAGTGACAATACACAATTATCTAAACCTGATCTTTCTCTACTTTTCACAACTTTCATCCATTTCTACAAGTGGATGGACCAAAATGCCTTTAAGATGCTTTATCATAACTACAGGCGGGGCCTTAATGCATAAACCTGAGTTCTTCATCCAAACTTCTCAGCTGTATTGGAGATTGCAGCACCCATCTTAAATAGCCCACTGGTAAAATTGTTCTTTGCAAATTAAAATTCAGTTTCAGCTCAACCCAGTCAAATGTGAAAACCAAATTGTTTAGTTATCTTGCAAACAGTTGGAGAAGAAAGTTAACAATGTTGACATCAAATGTTACAAACTTTGGAAGATTTCTGGCTATATAAAATTGTTCTAGCCATGATGCAAAAAGTTATGTTTTTACTTACAGGTTACGCTATTACAATAAACATTTAATTTTGTCTTCACCTTTGTATTGATCTTACTTAAATTGAGGTTTGCGGACATGTAACTACATATAAATTATAATTTCTAGATATTTGTACTTTTTTGTATGTCTTTGAAAACTGTAAAAAATAACAGTCACAATTTTCCAGAAATTACATGGATCTCTCTCTCTCTCTCTCTCTCTCTCTCCCTCTCCCTCTCTCTCCCTCCCTCCCTCTCTCTCTCCCTCCCTCCCTCCCTCTCTCTCCCCCCTCCCCCTCTCCCTCTTCCTTTCTCTCTCTTCCTCCCTCTCTTTTCCCTCTGGGTCTGGAGCATGTAGTGATTGAAAGGAAATGTAATAATTATTTAAGAGTGGCTAATATAGAGCAGAATATTGATTAAATAAGTAAAATTAAGGGCATGTGACTATTTTCGAGTATAATATAGCTACAAAATACATAAATTCCAATGTGTCATTCATATCAGGAGATACAGCTTTGTAATGAAGTTTAGACTATAACGGTCTTAAAAAATAAGTGAAAATAAACAGCAAAGGAAAACCTGCAATGACTTTCAATATTCTCACATTAATACATTTATGTTCGGAGGCAAGCTTTTTCTGAAAAGTCTGGGTCTTTTCTTGATGACAACAGAAGTAAAACTGTGAAGGAGAGGAAATGAGTAGATATTCTACTCCCAATATATTGCTGTGTTGGGGAACAAGTTATAATTTAACATTTTCAGTGTGAACATGTCTATATCATTTTTGTGCATATTAGTGATAACTATGCAAATATGGGTTCCGTTTTCCATGTAAGAAGTAACATTGGTCCCTTGTCTCTATATTGAGAAGATAGAGGGGCCAAATCTTGATGTTTTTGTGTAAGCAATAGTATATTTTGTTGTTCCCCATCCTCCTTGCTTCCCCACCAACAGCTCCTCCTTTGTCCATTTGAGATTAGGTTAATTGGCCTGTGAAAAATGTTTTCCAGAACTTAGTTTGTATCATATCCTTGATGTTAAATCTTCAAAGTAGACCAGGTCAGAAAACAGATACTGCTTGATCTACTGGAGCTCAATCCCTGTAATAGCAATCTTGGAAGCTTCCCAGAGATTCACTTGCTCGCCTTTTATTCTAAAGAGAATCAAGGCAGCACAATCTTAAATTTCTTACTCTAGCCAGGCTAAGCTGATGTTTGCTTTAAGAATCATTGAAATTCTTGAAAGGCTATCTGCATGCACCTCTACATTTGCTTTCCACTGCTAAGCTTTGCCTCTAAAATTAAGCGTTTCTGGTGAAATGTAGGTTGTGATAGTTTGAAAATCATCTCCTGGTGATGTCTATTCACAAGAATGGGCAAGCAAATAGTTAAAAACAAAGAGGAAAAAATCATTTAGGTTCTTTCAGTGTTAACAATAGTTTCACTGTGGTTTTAATAAATCACAATTGGTTTAATTCTTAATTAAGCTGCACGTAGATAAGCCAAAACCATAACTTAAATGCCACATAAGTAGGAAAAGTCAAAATCAATAAATTGGTACTATAATGAACTCTTTGTCCAATAACATTATTGTTTCATTAATAACTACTGTTATTCGAATGGCTAAGTTCTTAGGAAGTCACTTTGGAGATTTTCATGCTTTGTCTTCTTCCGCCAGTCCAGAACAATTCATTCACACTTCTTTGTAGAAGTGCTAATGGTGACGATAATAAGAAAAGTGACTTCAGAATTTATCCAGAGAATCACTGTACAACAGGGTTGGGCAACTACAGCCACTTTATGACCTGTGGACTTCAACTCCCAGAATTCCTGAGGCAGCCAGCCATAGTTGCCCACCTCTGCTCTATATAATAATAATAATAATAGTAAAGTTGGAAGGGACCTTGGAGGTCATCTAGTCCAACCCCCTGCTCGGGCAGGAAACCCTACACCATTTCAGACAAATGGCTGTCCAGTCTCTTCTTAAAAACTTCCAGTGTTGGAGCATTTACTGCTTCTGGAGGCAAGCTGTTCCACTGATTAATTGTTCTCACTGTCAGGAAGTTTCTCCTTAGTTCTAGGTTGCTTCTCTCCTTGATTAGTTTCCACCCGTTGCTTCTTGTCCTGCCTTCAGGTGCTTTGGAAAATAGCTTAATTCCCTCTTCTTTATGGCAGCCCCTGAGATATTGGAATACTGCTATCATGTCCCCCTTGTCCTTCTCTTCGTTAAACTAGACATACCCAATTCTCGCAACCGTTCCTTATATGTTTTAGCCTCCAGTCCCCTAATCATCTTTGTTGCTCTTCTCTGTACTCTTTCTAGAGTCTCAACATCTTTTTTACATCGTGGTGACCAAAACTGGATGCAGTATTCCAAGTGTGGCCTTACCAAGGCATTGAAGAGTGGTATTAATACTTCACGTGATCTTGATTCTATCCCTCTGTTAATGCAGCCTAGCACTGTGTTGGCCTTTTTGGCAGCTGCAGCACACTGCTGGCTCATATTTAGGTGATTGTCTACTAGGACTCCGAGGTCCCTCTCACAGTTACTACTATTGAGCATGGTGCCACCTATGCTGTACTTGTGCATTTGGTTTTTCTTGCCTAAATGTAGAACCTTGCTTTTTTCACCATTGAATTTCATTTTGTTAGTTAGTGCCCAGTGTTCAAGTCTGTCCAGATCCTTCTGTATCTGAAGCCTGTCTTCTGGAGTGTTGGCTATTCCTGCCAGCTTGGTGTCATCTGCAAATTTGATGAGTTCCCCATCTATCCCTTCATCCAAATCGTTGATGAAGATGTTGAAGAGTACTGGGCCCAGAACAGAGCCCTGGGGCACCCCACTACACACTTCCCTCCATATAGATGCAGTTCCATTGAGGACCACTCGCTGAGTACGGCCGGTCAGCCAGCTACGGATCCATCTGGTGGTGGTTCTGTCTACCCCACATTTTTCTATCTGGTCAAGTAGTAAGTTGTGATCTACTTTATCAAATGCCTTACTGAAGTCCAAGTAAATTATGTCCACAGCATATAAGAGCACACACTCTACCAGTTTCCAGGTCCACCTATGTTTCAAACAGTGAAGGGAGGAGGAAGGTAAGGATGATGGAGGGACATAAGTAAAGAGGACAAAAATCAGCAATCTTGTCAAAAAGGGTCCCTTTGGGCAGGTAGATAAAAAGTTTGTGTTTGTATATGAGAAAAAGCAAATGTAACATGTAACCAGTAAAGTTTTGCTGATAACTTTAAATTCATTGGGTCTCTGTGTATTCCAAATCAACCTGATGCGCCTTGGTTGGAAGCGATTTGTGTTGTGTTTAATTATTTCCTGGTGGTTGTTCAGGGAAGTGTGTCTTGCCTGCTCTAGCTGCACCTATTTTAAAAAAAACAGGTAGAAAGCAATTATAAGATATTTGGGTGGGAAAGAAACACACTTATCATATATTTACACAAGATAAACAATGACCAGTTGTTTACCGACTATCCAGGTAACAATCTAATGGATAATGAGTTTATTAAGCTTTAGTCAACTTATCTATAAAGAACAAGCCTTCATTTAATCAGCTATATAAGTGTTTAATGAATGACTTATCGATGAAACAGCTTTCCTAATTGGTAACTGTAAATATGAAGTTTTATTTCCTTTTGTAATCAATCTACTTCTATTTCTCTAGATGGAAGGAACATGACTAATGCAGAAATAGCATCAAGTTCATAGTATTATACTGGTTAAAATTGCAAGCATCAGTGGTCAAGGAAAGGGAAGGGAAGGGAAAGGAAGGGAAGGAAAGAAGAAAGGAAGGAAGGATGGATGGGTAACAGTTGGAAGGAACCTTGGAGGTTGTCTAATCCAGGGCTTTTCAACCTTTTCACCCATTGTACCACTTTAAGGATATGGCAACATCCGAGTACCACCAGTCGCCTAGCAAGGGGTCAAAAACTTGATGACCAAAAAAAAAAAAAAGTAATGAAGTACAGGTAGTCCTTGACTTACAACAGTTCACTTAGTGACTGTTTGAAGTTACAATGGCACTGAAAAACATGCCCCCCCCCCAAGGCACAGGCGAGCAAGACGCCTGCCTGCCTACTGGCAGTGCTGTTCCTCCTGTCCGAGGTTTTCATTGTTGTGAGCATTTCTGTTGAGGATTGGCAGTGGGGATGGGGTGGGGGGTGTTTGGTTTTTATTCCCCCCCCCCCGTCTGCTGAGTGGTTGCAGCAG